TCACCAGATATCTTGCAACTAGATTTAAGGGCAGTAGTAAGCCACCTATCTGGGTGTGGGAAACTGAACACAAATTCTTTGTAAGGATAATGCATATTCCTAACCACTGAGAAATCTCTTTATTCCTTATTTGCCCTAACTTTAAATAAAAAAGTAACTGTATTTTTAACTTGCTTAAAACTATATATAATAGTCCAAAATAATTTCTATAAATATTTTACTTTGGTACTCACTTTGACAGCCACATATACTTAAATTAGAAGATTTAAGTATATATTTAAACAGAGAAGATTAAGTTGGTCCTGTCCAAGGGTGACATACAAATTCATGAAGCACATTATAGTTTTCTAACACAGACTTTGTTTGAAGATGTCATGATATGTAAACTTGAATATTAATTTTAAAAATAAGTTTTTAGAAGTACAAGGAGTATGATAAGTAAACTATTAATTTTTTATGTTGTAAGAGTTACTGGTTATATGTTAGGAATAATGAAATTTAATAGATCAAATTTCAGCTAAAAACTTTAAAATAACTGTACAGTAAGACTGAAAATTCAGTGACACAATATTCTGACCACATGAATTTATTTACATACACAAATCTTTGTGAGGTTTCATTTTCAGCTATGACATCCATTTAAGACAAGTGTCAGTTTAAAATGAACTCGGATTCTAGAATATTAAAGCATGGTTTCATAGTTAATGAAGCATAGTCAGCCATATTGTACTGTCCTCACTAAAATATTAATAATAACATATTAAGAATAAGAGCTACATTCTGTAACCATCAAAGAAGATACATTCAAGAGATTTCACATCTTTCTCACACTTAAAAATATTATTTGACATGAAATGTTAGTATAGAAGCACAGCAGTACATGAAATGCTGTTAAATATTGTAAAGACTAATGAGTTATATATTTTAATGCCTCTTATAAGATTTAACACAATAAAACCCAATCTTAATGTATATACAAGTCATCCTTGGATATATATTGCTAAAAGCTGGTCTCTGCTCAGCTGCTTATCCTTGCACCACATTTTATAATCCCAATGTCATGTTTATTAACACGGTTGCACTATTAGAACTGTTTAGAGATTACTGAGAAAAAAATCAATTGACAACAGTTCTTTGCTTCTCTCAGTAGTTTTGGAAGAAACAGAACTACAATCACTGCTTCTTTACTTCTTAACTGCAGTGGTTTGGATGAGTAACGGCCCCCTTAGGCTCAGGAATGTGAACATTTGGTTCGTAGTTGTGGTGTTTGGGGAGGTGCAGATGGCGCAACCTTGGTTGAGGAAGTCATTGATAGTGAGTTTTGAAATCATATAGCTTGGCTGTACTTCCAGTCTACTCTCGCTGCTCTGTGCTTGTGTTAAACTATCCGAGCTATAAGTTTCCTGCTCTGGTTGCCATGCTTGCTGTCTACTGCCATGCTCTCCACACCATTACAAATTTTATTAGTAGGCAGAGCTGGAATAAGATCAACATCCCTTTATGGGAATAGAAATAACTGAAAAGGGCGCACATTCCAGTATGAGGCTGAGGGATAGCTATTGCTTCTGCCTTATAGGACTGAGGTGTGATAAAATATTCATGGTATCTTAAAGAGTACTGAGTAAAGTGCAGTTATCATAGTTGGAAATGGTTGCCTATGTAATAGTCTATGATTATCTTCAGCCAATTATTTTGAAGTTTTTTTTTTTAACACTGAGAAAAACAACCACTAAAATGTTACTATGTCAGAGTATGACTAAATTTTTTTAGGCTGAGAAAGAATTCTAAACTGACTGAAATCACTTCACCTACTAAAAACAAACACACATGCATACATATATACATACATACATACACACATATTCAGTAAACAACCATTGACTACCTTCCTTTGAGAGATATTATTTACTTGTGTTTTCCCAGGTAAGCTAGCTGAAGAGAAATATCATGATGTACTTGCTCTACAGAACTATTTGTTTTCATGCAAGAAATTAAGAATACTGAAATGACAAACTTGTTTTAGAACCAGTATGTAGGCTTTCTAACAATAATTACCTAAGCCACTTTCATTGTCTTCGTGTAGCATTATTCTTAAAGATTCTAACTCTATAAGGATGCGCATGTGTGTCTGTGCAATGAGTGTGTCAGAGCTGCTTATTTCTGTGACACGGTGCACATCAGTCAATCAGGGGACAATTTTGTGGAGTCAGTTGTCTGTCCTTTCACCTCTATGTGGGAAACAGGAATTAAACTGAGGTCATTAGGCTTGCACCACTGAAGGGTTTCAATTGCCAAGTGATTGTGCTGGACACCTTTTAGCTTTTTTGTTTTGTTTTCTTTTTAATTGTTGTGCTGTTTTTTGTGTTCCTGTGGATAATGTGCATGTGGGCACAGGTATGCACATGTGGCACAGGACACCTGCGGAGGTCAGAGGACAACTTTTGTGCTCTTGATATAGAATGATATGTGTTGCATTCTCATTTTTTGTTAAGGTGGACAAGTCACATTACCTTTCATTTTAGAGTTGTAGGTTCACCAGGTATTAGGACTGAAATCATCTATGCATTCTCAAGTACTGATCAGCTTGTTTTCAGTACTGAAAACCCTTAGGCTCCAACTTTGTGGTTTTCCTTTTTGATGTTTTTTCAAGACAGTGCTTCCCATAATACATACAGCATCTGTGAAGCTGGCTTTTCTGGAACCCCTACCCAGGTTACTTTTTATGTTGATAAACAAAACTGTTCAAGGCTATTAAACATCTTTCACTGCTAAGTATAATACCATATGAGGCCTCTTTTCTCTACATACATACTTGCATTCCTATCTTATTTTATGACACCCTTTGTTTCATTTGATTCTCATATTTAGCCTTGACTGAGAAAAAGAGGTAGGCTGAACAGCCTGTGTTTACATAAATACTGAACCATGTGCCCTCTGACTCCTCAAATGACTATGTGGGTGGAAGCAAGAACATGCATTGTGCCAGTGTGCGCATAAATGCTGTCACATGTAAGGCAAGAAGCAGAGTGATATAATGCAAGTCACAAGTTGTCAGGAACTCTAAATCGTAGTTTTGTTTTTATCAAGGGCCCAGTAAACCAAAGCCACGTGAAGTCATGACCCTTACCCACTGCCTCTCCCACATACTGAAGGGAGGAATCAGATACTCATTGCAGCCTACCAACCAGATTGTTTTTTCATGTTCCTTGCTTCCATCCTAGTCCACTCTGGGAGACCCCTCTGCTATGGCTGAAGGTGACAGAGATCCTCAAGTATAAGAGCATGTCTGTATGGTTGTTTTACCCACAAAATCCCCAAACATGAACCTCGCAGGGTTTAGCACAAAGATAAAGTTTTCTCAATGAATGTATACAGAATGAATGTATGTCTCTTTGAAGAAAAAAAATGACAGCTTCCACACAAACTGCACTCAGTGCTGACCCTGAAGAAAAGCCATACAACTGATGTTGTAAAAAAAAAATGTTTCTTGTTTATACTGCTGTATTTTAATTTTTAGCTGATCTGAGCACAAAGAGAGCTCTTTCTGTTCAGAGAAAGAGGGTTTATGGTGTGTGGGAGAGCTAAGAACAATGGGCTCAAATGATAAACCAGAGGTGCTCTCAGCTTCTGAGAGCCTGGAAACTCCATCTATATACCCATCCCAGAGGGCAGAACTAAATAAGGACAGATGGAAAATGCAGCTTTTTTGGCTTTTGCTCTCTGAGGCAAAAATACATTCACTCTGTAGCACCCTGAGTCAATTTCCCAAAATGTGGTATTGTGCCTTTGTTTTCCAGTGTCTAAAAATAAATCATATTTTTATTCCCTTTGTCTTAAAGTCATTCAAGCAGACTTACTTGAAGAATATTAATTGTGATGAAGCAGAAATCGGAAGACTACAATTGAACTACTTTTGAACAGAGCTCCTTAACTGATGACTAACATGTTGCCTACAGCTAAAGTCTCCTTTCTCATGTTCCTTGTCAGCCATGACTATGAGACAAATATACAACTAATTTTAAGTTGGCGTTCTTCAGGCTGGCATCAGAGTGTGGTCCATGTTGTATTAGGTGGCTTTGTGGACTAAGCACTCAAAGATAGTAGGTGTCACTAATTTGTTTTAATCCTGGACTGTCACAGCATGCTTAATTTATATTATCCTTGTATCTTCTCTGCCATATAAACACTCAACTTCAAACCTTTAATTTAGTACTTCCCAACTATGTATTATTCATGTGGGAAGCACCAGGGTATCTTTATTGGAATAGCTAAACAATTTTGAAAAACAGTAAAAATAATTTAATATTAAGTGGAACAGGAGCTAGGATATAACAATGGCACTAGGCAAGTACACCATACTGACTCAGCATGAGCAAAACACTGTGAAACCCAAGAGAAATTAAATCATTAAACACGAAATGAACAGGTATAAAAACCTGAGTTTAGCCCAGCATGGTAACACATGCCTTTAATTCTGTCTCTCAGGAGGTAGAGGCAGGCGGATCTCTAAGAGCTCAAGGTCAGCCAGCCAAGGATACATAGTAAAACCCTGGATAAAAAAACAAAACAAAACAAACAAACCAAAAAAACAAAAACAAAAACAAAAAAAAAACACGATATTCAAGTTCAGACAAGTATTTATTGGGTTTCTTCAGGTAAATTGTTTTGCATTTTGCATCTATTTCGTACTATCTTTAGGTATTAAAAAGAAAGAAGCAATGTATGTATTTATACATTTTTCATAGTAGTATAAGAATAACTTACATGGCCTTGAGTACCTTGAGCTAACTATAATTAAGTTCATGTTAGTGAGAACAAACAGAACAACTAACTCAAAAGACACCATGTTTGATTGAGAACATTCTTAATTTTATTTTCCTTACTTTTATAAAATACATTTTGTAAGATAAGTTTCTAAACATTTATTCTTTATATTGTTAAAATCAAAATTCTATATCAGGAATGAAGGAAACACTTGCAGTGGATTAACTCTCTTTGTGTGTGTGTGTGTGTGTGTGTGTGTGTGTGTGTGTGTGTGTGTGTGTATGTGTGTGGTCTTCAGGAAATGCTTGGTTATCTGTTATGTTATTAAATCAAAACAAAAGAAAATATATAGATTACTTAACTTTCCTTGATCTTGATTGGTTTCTTGCAGATCCATTTCCCTCTCCTCACGCTTGTGCATCCTGCTAGTTTACTTTGTATACTGGCCCCAAAACAAGAGTCAAAATGTCTTCTCGAAAAGTCTTAAATCTCCTTCAACATGGCAGAAGCCACTTTGGGGAATAACAACACAAATCTACAGTAAAAGATCTATACTAGCTTTTGGAAACTTCAATAAAAATAGATCAGAGTTTGTTTATTTGTTTGTGTTTTTTTTTTAACCTAAAGTTAACAAATACAGGGTAAGTCTGAAATCTGGGAGTTCTTCAGGTTTCAAATTCTTTCTGTTTGTCCTCTCTGTTCCTCCAGATCTCTGTGGAAGATTACCAACTGAACAGCTGACAGCTGGCACAAACTATTATGTGACCTATATATACCAAGAGACAATAACCTCTATGCTAAGCCTAATTCTCAAAATGCTAACATAATATTAGCCAGTAAAATCATCTATAATTTGTTAGGAAAGAAAAATATCAGACAGGTAATTCAACTTGAAATTCAAATTTACTAAGCCTATTTCTAAAAATGGCAGAATCCTTGTGGAAAACCCAATAAATTCATTGGACTCGACAATTTCAAATATTTTTGTGACGCATATTGTTCAGTTTTCTTTTTTCAAAATAAACCATACTTGAAGACTCACTCTCCAGTTCATTCTGATACAACTCCAAACAAGAGATAAATAATTGGAAAATATGAAACATGAATCAATCTGGAACTAATCAAGATCTTCAAATCACTTGCTATGACTGAATGGATAAAACCCCAGGAAAAGAGCACCATTGTGAACATATGCCAGAGGCCAGAGGACACAATTAATTGACAGAAATAAAAAGATATGCTATCCAAAGAGTTAACTATCTTGCATCTACCAGAGGGCCATCCCAAGTTACACCTTTAGCCTCTACCAAATAAGGTCACAGCTGTATTTGATGTAAGCTAGTTTCCTTCTATTCTCAGCTCCTTGGAAACTGCAAGGTTGTCATGGTAGCTGTTATCAAGGAAAAGGGAGTGAGAAGATCCTGACAACACTCTGTTTCTCTTCCTAATGAGGTGTAAGGACAGATGATGGCCCCTTTGTCTTCACAAAGACTGTGCTCCCTTATGTTGTAAGTAAGGTAGGCTGAGTTAGGGCTTAAATAGTCCATTGCCACTGGAGTCAGAGCTCTCTTTCTAGGAGTGAAAGATCCTTGCTTTAACCCCCTTCTCCCAGCTGCAGGAGGCAGATTTGGGCAAATGCTATTGCTTTGCTAGCATTATTTTTTTTCTTCTGTTTTCAGTGGAAATAGGAAGATAAGACTGAGTTCTTGGTTTTGGCTCCTAATGATGGCAAGGAGACCAAGGACATTCCTTTCTCTCTACCTGATAATCTTTCTTTCTGCTTTGTTTTCCTTAATGGAAACAAATGCCCTTTGAGAAGGAAGCACACATTCCTGGTCTTGAGGAGATGCTTGTAAACTCAATTAGAGCTTTCCTTCCTTTCTGACTTGCAGCTGGGGAATCACCTTCTGAGGCATCCCCCATTTCTAGTGGGAACCAGCTGTGGAGCAAAATGACTAAGAGAGGTACATAAGAGGGAGAGTCCACAGAGAGAGATTAATCACTGCAAGACTCTCCTTTCTTGTTATACTCATCAAGTAAGAAGAGGGCCAATCAGTGGCAAAGGCAGAGTTAAGATAGGAGACACAGCACTGTAGGCTGTGTGGTTAGAGCCTCGCTATTAGACAAAGGGAGATTTCTATGGGAAATCAGAACTTGGTGCCTCGGCCCATGAGTTTAAGGACGGCGAAGTTGTAAGTGGCAGCAATCATGAAGGTGAGCTGTAGGAAACAGAAGAGAAAAGGTAATTAATGGTAGAAAGGGAAGCTCTCCCTACTGAAAACCTTTTGGAAATGAGGGAGAGGGGAAATAAAATCACACCTAAAGAAAAGGAAATTGTCTGTAAAAAAAAAAAAATTAAAAGGTACATTCCTGTTTTATTTTCTAAATATGTGAATAGAAAACTTCTTTTAGACATTTTCATAATAGCCCATTCCCAAATAACCTAATCAATAAAGATTTATTCCACAGCTTGATTCTGCTTACCACTGACCATTCCTTAAGGAAATTGGCCATGCCTGTGCTGTGTCATATCAACATGTCTAGTCGACTTGGAGTCATAAAGTGTTTGCTCTACACACACAACTACTTCATGCAGCATAGCCCTCCTCCCTCTTGTGCATCAATTGATTTCAGAAATTAGAAGTGAGGTGGTTTTCTGTGAAGGTCTCTGCAGTGCTGAGGGTGATTCTGGGAGATCCTCCTTGTAGTTAACTGCTACCTCAGAGAAGTGAGGTATATCATCTTGCTTCTGCTGCCTGAGGTTTTATATCTGCGACAACGAGCACACTGCATTGGCACTGCACTAACATTACCCTCAGGACCTGGGGCACAGGATTGCAGCAGAATTATAACAATTCTAATGTGAGGAGGTCCCTCCAGCTTCCCTGGAAATAATTAAACCCACTGGAGATTATCTAAGATGCTATTAACTATCTAGAATACTGGGATACAGCAAATCCTGTTTAGTGATAGTTCCATGCTCTTGTCAGTTCCTTGACAACTCACAGTAGAAATACACAGTTCCATACCTTGCTATCCCTCTTCATAGCTTCTCTCCAGCCTTTCAAGGTTGGAAGGAGTCTCTTTCTAGCTTTTCAGCCTAACACTACTCAAGCTATCCCTGGACCACGTCTTTTCTAATATTATCTTTAACTTACCAGGGAAACTAGTGTGGCTGCAGCACCGACAAACGCAGCAATAAACAGGTGGAAGGTCATTTGGAACTGCAGGAAAATGTGTGTGAGAGAATTATTTCTTATAACAGAAAAGCAAAGTATGATCTGCTGTAAACAGTGAAAGAAGTTATCTGGGTTGGCTGATAGCTTTCATGTATGTTGATTTTGTGTCTCCAAATTTTCACTTCCCTAAGTGTTAACCTCCCATTTGCCACTCTATCATAGGCACCTCACAGCCAAAGGATGTAGAAGACTGAGAAAAGAGATTAATGATCCCAAATAACTAACTCATTTCCTAAAGTCGTTCCGAGATCCAAAATTTTAAAGTCAATATGTCCTTTCCAAAGATATTGTTTCTCTGATTGCCTCTGCAGGATTTGCTTTTATTCTTTTACTGCAATAGCATGTCTGTTCTCAAGGAAGAATTTTCTTTTTTTTTTTCAAATGTACTTATTTCACATCTCATTGGAGATTAAGGAGTTCCAAATTAAAAATATTTTATGGAGCCCTTGTGTGTCTCTGAGCATGGCCCATTTTTCTTGGTAAGTTTTTAACCAAAATGAAAATTTTCATTTGTGAAATTTTACTACTAAGTATTGTCTTTACTTAAAGCTACACATTTTTCTTTTAATGAGTAGAGTTTGGGAAAGTAATATTTTCAATCAGCTCTGGGCTAAGTAGATACTTTTACCTTTAATCAGTATGCTCATTAATTCAGGTACACTTATCCATTATTTTGTATAAGGGAAATCTGCTAACTCAAAGTCCAACAAGGACATACTATAATCCTTAACATTGAAGCACATGAGGAGAAACTTCTGTTATAGGTAAGAAGTTCTGTGTAATAACAGCCAGTCTATTTCAAAATCACCCTCATCATTCACTTACCTCGGCTGTTTTGCAGATGGACAGAAGGTTGGAGCCACAGACCTTGCCAGGAAAAGCATTCCATGGAAGAACACCTAACGTGCAAAAACCAACAGAGTAAACTTCACAGAACTAAAGGGTCATGTGGAGACTCTCTCCAGAGCCTTCTACTTTCTCTAACCTGGCTGTAAAGCTAATATCGACAGTAAGCATGATCCTGTTTTCTAAAAATTTACATAAAAGAAAAGGTGGTATTCAGTAATTGTGTAATTTTGTAGTATTAAAATGTGCTGCTTTGGTTATTAATAGCAGTCAATCGGAGAAAAAGAGTGAGAAAGGCAAAGAAGAAGAGGAGGAGAAGGAGGAGGAAGAAGAAGAGGAAAAAAGAGGAGAAGAAAGAGAAGAAGGAGAGCAAAACAAAACCTCCCCAAACTTCCATATTTCCTTGGGAGGGTGAAAACATTCTTAGTTTCAGTGGAAGAGGATTAATAAACTAAGAACTGTTTATTTCTCATCTTACAATTTCTCCATAATCATCCTCCTCCTCACCAAAACAAGTACATGTTGTTTCTAGAGATGTTAGGGAATCTAAGGCTCCCCCATCCAACTCACCATACATTCTTGCATCAGCACAGAGACTGCCTATACTGGCAGAGGTCTTGCTAGGAAAGGCGATAGACTGACAGGTGGTCCAGGTATTGAAGTAAATGTACACAGGCACAGCAGAGCAGGCAAACACCAGGAGCCATACAACAGTCAGGGCATAGGTGATGCCCACAAACTAAAACAATTGACATGGGGTGGTTAAAGATCAGCATCAACTTGCAGACCTTGAAACAAAATCCTGGAGTGGCATATGCCAATGAAGTCAGATTGAAGGCATCTCCCTCAAATGAAATTAGTGAGCAGGGCACTTCTGTGAGGTGTCATTGGCAGTATCTCTTAGAGAACTGGCCCCATGTGTGATGGAGGGTAAGGAGAGTAGGTGGGAGTTGGAGTGAGATGGATCCCTGGGTTAGAAGGGCTTCAGGGGTTTTGGGGGGCAGAGAAGGTATAACAAAGTTAAAAAAATGTCCTGAAAGAAAGTTGTGCCATTTTGTGCCTTAGGCTGAGCTTACAAGATGTTCTTTGCCACAGAATTTTTGTTCCCTAGTCGCTGAACAACGCCAATAGGAGATTTAAATTTCCAATCTAAAACCATTCCAAGCTAACTGCTGGTCACAGAAGTCATCACCTCAACACGCACATGTTCAGACCCCAAAAAACTTTAACTCTCAAGACTGAAAACCAATGTATGTCTTTCTAAACCATAACTAGCCTAAAGATAAGGGTGAAATATGCAAATCTCTCTGGAACCCCCAAAGTATAGGATCCCAGAATATTGTGACTTGGAGCCAATTCTTTGATTTCTATGATCCACCCTCCATTTCAGGTTACTTATCTAAGTCTCAATCCCATGACTAGCATTTTAGATTCTTGTGTAGTCTGGTCTACTCTTGTAGTCCTTACTAGGAACAAAGTAACAAGGATACCAACAGATTGATTAGAAATGGTCTTATTGTACAATGTCTCCTACAAAATTCATGCTTTTCAGTTTGAGATGAAATTTTCTAGGGAACCTTTGAAAGGTGAGGCTAAGGCGGCCAGGCACCACGTTCTTCCTGACCATATCGTTCGGCTGTAGCCATCACTTCCTCACTCAAAAGCCAGGTTCTCTGGCGAGGACCCAACCTTGGGTGGGGATGAGGCCACAGACTCACGCCCAATTGTCCCCCACCCCTTGTTATTGCCACAAAATCCTGAGGATGATCACCTTGTCGGGATGTCCTAGCCATTTTCCCAAACAATGACACACCCGCTCCAAAGAATGAGCTTGATGTTGGCCTCTGGAACCCCTCCCCTTCTGGCCCCCTGTTACCGTTGCGCTCAGGCCCTTGCCGCAGATGGTGGTCTTGTAGTCGCCAAAGATCTGCCTGACTGCACCGGTGGTGTAGAAGCCCTCAGCCAGCAGGAGGGCCCCATAAAGGAAGAAGAAAGAGGCAGTTCCATAGATGACATACTGGAAGGCATGAATCCTGCATTGACAGAGAGAAAGTCCAGATAACTATTCAGAGGATACTGCTCTCCTTGTCAGTTAGTAATGTACACGCCTGAGTGGCCACGGGTTCTTCAAAGGAATCACTAGGGTTTTCAAATGTTCCTTCACCTTTTCTTCACTGAAGTAAGTGAAAACAGCCATGAGCACATGATTCTCCCCCTATTCCTTGTTACCCTGCACCCTAGAGAACCAAGCTTGCCACTCCTTGCTTGTCATTTCAGAAATGCCGCTCCATAGGAGAGATATGCTAGACAGAGAGATGAATGAATGAGTAGTAAGTAACTCAGCTTGCTCTAGCTGCAAGACAGACTTATTACTAAACCTAAGTACACATAAGCAGTATCAGATCAAAACTCCACTGTGCCCAGTCCTTGGACCACCACCTGCCACTGTGGAGACAATTCAAGGAACATTAAACATACCTAGCAGCAATCAGGCCATGTGTGAGAAAACAGGGAGGAGGGAGAGGAGGCAGACCTCCTTTCTGAATCTGATATTGTTCCCTTACTTAAAGCTTCCAACATGGCATGGTAGAACCTGTACACAGAGGGCTATGTCAAGAATTCTATCCAGCTCAACACTGGTCCCCTCCTAGTCACTAAGATACTGATGAGTTTTATACCTCTAAGACAGGGTGAGGGAAAAGGAGATGAGTCTGGGAATGGGGTAGGGAGGTACTTACACATTAATGAGATACTCATAGTCCTGGTAGTTTTTGGAGAAATAGGTCTCAATTAGCTTTTCTGTACCAGTGAGAGCTTCGTGTCCACATCCACAGAACAGCGCCACTCCAAAGAAACACAATCCAGTGGCCACCAGGGAAGCAAAGGGAGCCCCTACCAGACATCTTGCACAGCACTCTAACAAGCCTAGGAAAAAAAAGAGGGTAAAAGTCAGAATTGCATAAGAGCTAACTTGTCTACTCACACCACACTGCTGGGCCAAGCAGCCCATGCTACCAACAAGAAAAAGTAGTTATCTTGGGAGTGCTAAAGGAGAATTTATGGGTTTTAGCTTTTAGAATGTGAGGTTGACCCAGAATCTTTATTTTGTCCCATTCTTAAAAACAAACCCTCACCTCAATACTCAGAATGTATGGGTTTATTTTATAAAGGAGTCAAATAATCCAGAAAGTAATCCAGAATGGTGGTGAGATTAGTCCCTCTTACTTTTGTAGTCAATTATGGAATAAATGTGCCCAGCATTGCACATGGGATATTAAAGCAGAAAAGGTGCCAGCTCTACCAGATTAGAGTCTTTAGTTTACTAAAGATGAATAAAGTAAATGTAATATTTTCTACCAACAATTCCAGGAAACCAAGTAAATGGCTACAGATAAATATTCTTGGAATTTCAGAAGGAATGAGTGCTAACCATAGATGTTAATATTTTCAAACAATTTGAACTGAAAGAGTATTCTAGGTAGAAGATATGATGGAAATGGCATGCTTCTGGATATTCCCACACATGATGGATATTTGTTGCAAGGAATGCAAATCCTTCTTGGTCTACATAGAATGGAGCAACTCAGAGAAGACAGAAAATGGCATGGGACCAGGAGTGATAATAGGAAAGTTGCTTTTGCAGACGATGATAAAAATGCAGGTTTCAGGGTGGAGATATGGCTTGGTCGTTAAGAGTGCTTTCTGCTCTTCCACAGAATCCATGTCAGACAGCTGCCTGTAATTCCAGCTTCAGAGGATTTGACAGCTTCTTCTACAAAAACTATTTTTATACAGGTTTGATGATTTTTCAATTCTTTACATGTGTGCTCCCCACCAGTGCAGTTTGGCCAGTTTTTATGGCCTCTGACCAACAGTGAGATTCTGTCAGGACATACGCAAAGAGACTTTCTATCATGGCCACAACAGCTTTCCAGCCTGAGGAAAACACACAGGGCCTGGGAACACAGGTGTCTTAAACTGCTGAGAATCCTTGAGCTCTCAGACCTGGCATATCTCAGCCCTGTGACAGTGTTGCTGAGAAACAAGAAAGGTACATAAAGCAGTCACAGATATATGTCAAATAAAAGTTATCAAATGCTAAGGAGATAACTGACTAGACAGATAAACATGTGGTTCCCTCTGCCCTCTCGACCAGATCTGCAAAAGGTACAAAAATGAAAATGTTAAGATCTTTAAATGGAAAGTATAAGCATACATAGTTATATTAGATAGTATATATAGACACAATATATTCAATATATGTATGTATATACTTATGCTTACAATGTGTGCATATACATGCATGCATATATAGGCCAGGTTTATTCTATATATCTATTCCTAACCTATTCCTATCCTATAGTGCATGTACAAGCAAATAAGCAGAAAATGTACCTGAGAAAGTACTATTGCCTAAGGAAGTACTAGTTCATGATAAGTATGTTGTAATTCCTTATCTCCTTACAGAACAAAAATAATTTTCTGAAGTTTGTACGTTTACATTCATGTTTCTTCAAGCCATGTTCACTTATATACAACAGGGTACAATGGGGAAATAGAAGTCTGCTGCCTTGTCCCCTTGATATGAGATCGGTTTTTATTAAAACCCCAAATACTTAAAAATGTTTTGATTTCCACAGCTATGTTGAGTAATGTCAACAGATGTTGAGAGATCAAATTATATGTATCAGAAAAAATATGGGATAGAGGCATTGTCCTTTTTATCAGAACCACAGAATAAATGAAAGGACAGTCTTTCCCTGGCCTTCAAAGAGTGTCTTTTTTGAAGATCTTTGTACACTGCATTAGAGATAAGGCTCAGAAGCCCAAGCCAAAGTGTAGTAAACATTTGTAGCACAACTGGGTCTCTTTCACTTTCTCCAAACTGAAGCTTCCCTGTCAGAAGACTCCGCTTCCATGAGAAGCTATTGATTTGGTTTTGTAGCTGTGCTGTTGTGCTGCTGTGAGTAGAAGCTGGACTTCACTCAATATGAACTGAGAGGATGCTCAGTACTGGCCTATGACCTGCATGCGCGTGCACACTTGCACAGATGTGTGCAATACATGCATGTGTACGCCAAAGGAAAATGAGACAGCTGAGACTGATCACTGTCTTGGGGAGACATTTCAGAAATTGTTCTTCTTTTGTGCCATTAGGTTAAGATACTACATGCATCCCATACATCAAGAAAAGGCGCTTGGAAGTAAACAGCACTCCCATTTTCATTCTCTACCCTTTTAACTCCTCTTCACCCTCAAACTCTTAGACTCCTCTAGTAAAGGAGGTCTCTGAAGCCTGCCATGGGGGAGGGGAGGTCAGTGACCCTACTGTTCTCTCTCTCTCCGGCAAAGGGTCAAGCCTTGGACATAGCCCTCCATAACTTCCCGAGACAAAGAAGCCTTGTTTTCTTCTGAGATCTCAGGAGTCTCATTGGTATTCTGCAAGGCCATGCAGGCCTGGGGGTGTGGACAGGGTCAGATCCAGTAAACAATGGAAGGACTGTTTATTTAGCCCAGGGTAGGGACAGCCATCTATCCTTGCAAGTGGTTATCTCACCCCAGCACTTTCACCATAGGATGGTCTAATGGTGAGGCATGTATGCTCAGGAACTTGAGCTCTTTCCAGCCAAACAGAGAAATCTACCCAATGATTTAGCTGATGTCCCCTCTATTTCATCTACACTAAGAACAATTTTTCCTTCTTATAATCAAATGATGAAACACACAAAGTGTGACTTATCATCTTGGACATATTATCATTTAGTAGTCATCAAGATAACCAGAAAATGTCACATTTAGTGTTTTTACTGGATGACGAAATGTTGGGATCAACTCTAGATCACCACTTAATACTTTATTTATGGCTTTGAGCCTAGCGTTTAACAGCTGAGCCATCTCTCCATACTTTATTTTTGCACCTATTTTTGTCTATTTTCTTACAGCTCAGATAATAACTTAACATCCCCTTTTCTGCTCTACTGATATTCAAAGCAGGAAACAAGGACATAGGCTTTGGTGAATCTTTAATGAGGGTTCCAATACAAATGCCCTTAGATACATCTACCAATGTTAGGTTACATAATAGTTTAGCAATATCAAAACCAGCATCAAATGTTAAATTCCTCAAAGTTCAGAGGAAATGTTTGTTCTAAGGGCATTTAAGTTCAATAGAAGTAAAGGATCTCAGCTAGTCTGCCCAAAGCAAAAGTCAAAATTTGAATTCTAACAGGAAAACTCAGATCATATAACAGATTGTCTTTTCATCAAAGTAGTTGACAGTCAAAGCATTCTGAATAAAAGTTCATTGGGTTCACTTCTATTTTTCACAATCCAAGAAATGAATTTGGGAACAACAGTTTAAAACTTTAAGCTCTCTGTTTCATAATACCTCAGGGTCAACAGGGTTTTGAATGTTAAAAGGCATTCCGTCATTTCCCTGGTAAGTATAAACTGTGATGTGGTGGAGTCAGTATAAAAGAATTACATAATACTAATAGTACTCAATGAGATTCAAGTCTCATTTTGATGCGTCATCACAGAATTAATGACCATTTATAATGCTTTCTTTTTCTTTGTGTTTGAATGACTTGAGGACAAACACATTATTAGTAACAAAGATGTTGCAAGAAACAAAAAGAAATTAGTAGTATAGTTGCTTTCCTCAGAAAACCTCCAATCTTGTTTGGGAGAACAAATTTATTTCTTAAACTGAAAAGCAAAGCTACCTATTACCTAGTGTTAAAATTGATGTACCCAAATCCTGTGGTCAAAATAATAACTAAAGACAACAGTTCAGAACTAGTTCTATTTATCTCCAAATCCCCCAAACAAGCATGATCAATCTCTAATAGAACTTCCTTTCTCACCAATATTCTCTGTCAGAGATCAACAATATTATTGTGAGTCTCAGATTAGTGCCCATTCCCCCTGACTGTCCTGATCCTGATGCTATCTCTTTAAGTAGGAGCCAAGTGCATCAAAGCCCTCTCTCCTTTCCCATGCCCTGGGCACACCTGAAGGTCCAGCTTCATGATGGAAATTTAGTGTGAATCTGGGAACTCATCAAAGGGAGGAGAGGAAGGGCTTTCATAGAAAGGAATAGTAGAAAGAGACCAATTGTACACCACACAATTCCCAGCTTGTCTCTTGAATCCAGCTGACAAAGGGAGAGATAGAAGAACCCTGTACAATAGAACTAAACAACAGGCAAGCTCTTTGAGTGAGAAACTGGTCCCATCTCCCTAAGTCTCTAATCTCCACTGTAGTCTTCTCCTCCTCACAGAATACACCCCTTAACTTCAACCCATGAACAGAGGGTTCCTTGATCATGACCTATAGCCATTAACATGGCCAAGATACTAGAGCAGCCGTGACTGGTACTAGGGATGGATGGTGATCAGGGGGTGGGAGTTCTAGAAGTAAAACAACAATTATCAGGAGGTGACAGAGACAAAGGCTTTTGCTTCTGGCCTCATCTTGTCAGGATAAAGCCCTGCCTATGACTTTGTCTTTCCTATATAATATTAGTACTTATACCACATTCAAGAGCTCAACAGGGCTCTATAGGCATTAAGGCCTGGGGATTCAAGCCTGCTTGATAGTCAAGTCATGTGGACAAGGTTAAATAAAAAAAGAACTCCAGCCTCCTTATTACTCAGATATTATTAACACTGCTGCTACTACTAGTGATAACCACTACTATTGGTGATTACAACTACTACCACCAAGAACAGCATCTGGACCACCTTACTTCCTATGTTCTTTCTCACACAAAGACAGAAACACACACACACACACACACACACACACACACACACACACACACACACA